CGACGAGGAGCGGTTTTTGAAATTGCGATCGGACATGTTGGACGCCGTCAATCTCGAGGTGTGTATGCGCCTGTACGACGAACTGGAGAGGGTCAGCCGCACTGTCAACTCCCTGTCCAACGGATTCCCGTCCCATTTGGAGGAGGAGCCCGTCATCTCGAGGACATCGAGCCCTTTCGACTTCAACTTCAACACGCCTCCGGCGTCTGGATCGCGGCCTTCAAGCCTGGCTTTCAGCTCGGCTGATTCGATCACGTCGTCTCCTCGCTCGTCTCTCGTGCTCCCCAGCCAAGCCATCCCAACCTCCGATCCAAACGAGTCCCAGGCCAAGGCTCGCAAGCTCTACAACTCGCTCGTCGCCCTCATTCAAACATCGCCGCCAACCTCCCGCCACGAGTCTCGATGGGCCTCGATGGCTCCGTCCCTGGCCATTCAGATCTTTCGGTTCACCAATGCCCCTTCAGATATGCTGCCCGCGTTCGAGGCTAAGCTTCTTGCACACGTCACGGATGTCCACGGCTCCCTTTTCCGCGAAGTAGAGGATCACTTCAACGCTCGCCTCTTGACCGATCTTCAACGCCGCATGCGCGAGTACCGAGGCCTCAACGGCGTCGCTCTGTTCTCTGTCGCTACAGGCAGCCGAGGCCCTAGCTCTAGCCGCGCGTGGGATGCCAGCTCAGCGGATGGATCCGGTCGCGACGCTGCTGGTGTTGAGGATATGGCCACCAGACTTGCGCACCTTGGTATACTACACTGGCGCGTGTGGGCACAGTTGGCGTATGCTGGTGAGGCTGCGGGCGACTTCGAGTGCGACATGCAGTCGAACCAGATTTAATTCCGCTCGGGCCTGCTGTTCATCGCGGCGCAGGAATCACCCTCGACGCGCGTATGCCTACCGATACCACACTAATGGGTCTGCTGCTGGCCAGTCTTCCGCCAGCTCGTCTCCAGTCACCACGCACACTTCGACGTCCCTTGCGTTTGCCTTACACGGATCGCCGACTTTTTTCACTTTTACACACATATTAATCAATGCCCTCTCACCGTGTGGTATTGCATCGGCAACACATGCGCACTCATACACATTGAACAACGTCTTTT